TTCAGCCTGCCGTGATAGACTGCGACTTTTTAGGTCCTATTTCATTTTTTTATTACAATAATTTGTTTGTCTTATTCAAATATAACAATTTATATGAACCTTTGTCAAGTTTGCACTGTAGGTGGATATCAGTTTTATTTCTTGTAACCAACACTGTAATTTTCCCATCCTTTTACCCTTTTAAGAATGGCCTTTGGCATTCCATGGTACAATCCATTGGTGCGGATTGTACCACTACATACCTTTGAAAATGGAGCTAGTCTGAAGCTCCATAAATGTGAGTGGAAAATTCTGCATGTGTTTATTGTATTTACAAAATGTATTTTACCAATGTTTTTCTATTTTCTGTTTTTTATTCACATGTACCCATGGACAAAAGCTCATACACTGTAACAAGCAAGAATACTTGGTGAAATAGCATAAATCCTAGATCACAACCTGTGGACCCCCTCCTTAAGTTTGTGTTATAATATAAGCTTTTTCTTTAACCCCTTAAGGACACATGACGGAAATATTCCGTCATGATTCCCTTTTATTCCAGAAGTTGTGTCCTTAACCCCTTAAGGACCAAACTTCTGGAATAAAAGGGAATCATGACATGTCACACGTGTCATGTGTCCTTAAGGGGTTAAGGGGTTAATAGGCACAACCTGATTTGTTTTGTTTGTTGTACTTTTTTGCCTTTAGGATTCCTCTCTCTTTAACTGTTTGATTTATTGTTGCCAAATAGTTAATGTTGCTTCAATAGTTCACTGTTGAAAACCTGGATTGTTTCATAGACTTTATTAAAATATTTTTTAATCAATTATTCAGGACCATTTGCTTTACATTTATTGTTAATTTGATGTGGATATAATTCTCAGCCACCTTATTTCAAGTCTGCACAAAAGTTAAATCTAGTGAAAAATAAAGGTTAAATGGTAGTTTACTTACCTTTAGTCCTGGATGGTCCTCCTTATTTCTGAAAATCTATAAATAAATAAAAGAAATAGATAAAATATATTTCCTTGATTTATATTTATAAATAAAATGGAGATTAAGAAAAACTTAAAGGATCACTATAGGGTCAGGAACACAAACATGTATTCCTGACCCCATAGTGGTAAAACCACTATCTAGCCCCCCAGGCCACTCATGGCTCCATAAATATAGCAAAATCTTACTGTATTTCAAGCCTCAAGCAGTAACTCTGCATGCTGTTTGCCTCAGAAAAACAAACAGTCTGCTGACATCAGCAGAAGTGGTAGCCTGACCCAATCACATATGATTGGTTGAGACTGACAAAGAGGCAGATCAGGGGCAGAGCCAGCCTGTTTCAAACACAGCCCTGGCCAATCAGCATCTCCTCATAGAGATGAATTGAATCAATGAATCTCTATGAGGAAAGTTCAGTGTCTGCATCCAGAGGGAGGAGACACTGAATGTCTGGATGCATTTTAGGCAGCCATGACCCAGGAAGGATCTCTAACAGCCATCTGAGAAGTGGTCAGTGAAGCTATCACTGGGCTGTAATGTAAACACTGCATTTTCTCTGAAAAGACAGTGTTTACAGCAAAAAGCCTGAAGGTAAGGATTCTACTCACCAGAACAAATTCAATAAGCTGTAGTTGTTCTGGTGACTATAACGTCCCTTTAACACTCCACCTGTGACAGCATCAAAAGGGTGTCATCTGTCAGACCAGAGCTAGAGTTCTGGCAGGCTAATTTAAATTTTGTGCAACTTTTGTTACACAGAATGTCATTGGCTGAGAGCAATAAGCTGAGCAATAAGTTTACCAATGAACATCGATCGCCACTGCTTCAATCTTCTGTAGTGCTGCAGCAGCCGGAAGAGCGTCACTGGACTACCTGGGAGCATCAGAACCCAGTGGAGACTCAGGTAAGGGGGCAAACAGTATTCCCCCTTTACCAGGGAACTAGACCAGGTTACTCCAGGTATCATAACCCCTACAATGGACTTCAGTGGTTATGATGCTTTGAGTAATCCCTTAAAAAACAAAATGTCAGCCTTTAAATACTGCAACTAATAAGGATGGAATAAGGGCTTTGACATCCCAGAACATACTTTCCATACCTGCACCTTTTTAGTGTGGATGAGTTAGAGCATAGTGTCCTAAGGAGTGTGGCAAATTGGTAAAGTATCTTTCACAGATAAGTGGTCACCATTTTTTTTTCTTCACTACAGATAAATGTCTTTATAGTATATAGCTTTAGTATCTAAAGAGAATTGCTAGGGATTCAGAAAAGTGTGCGAATAATTGAGGTGCATATGCTCTATCTATGGTTTAAACTCCCGACATCATAGGTACTCAAATAGTTAATTCTTAAACAACGGTCTAGGTTTTAGTGTCACTTCAGTTTCAGTAGAATGAGGTAAGTCCATAAATCTGGAGTAGTCAAAATTCTTTACATCTGGTGTGAAATGCACATGTTTTTAGACTAACAGAGAAAATCTAACTACAAATACTGAAAACATGTTCCTTAGGGGGAAAAAAATAACCAAAGAAAAGTCTTGAAAACTATTAGCCATATTTATAAAACCTCACATACAAGTCCTGGTCTGCCTGAGATTATTGGGATTTATGTTCTCCAGTGCCAGCTGCAATCATTTTAATGGAAGCAGCTGAAATAGATGCTGCTTGGTACTGTGTTGCCCACTAATGTCAAACAGTAAAGTTCTCACCTTAAGCACATACACTACCCTATCACACTACACTAACAAATAACCCCTACACTATCATTAAACATTTACCCCTACAGTACACTAAAAAACACTTACCATTCAAAGTACACTTACACTAAACATTAATACATACTCTACCTTAACCATTAATCCATACATTTACTTAATACTAACTTAAAAATATTATATAATGTAAGCTACATAATAGCAAAACATGTAGTAGGGGATATAATGTTGGTTTGCGTTTCTGGGGACATTTATTAACCACTTGACATTTGATCTCAGAGAACAGGTTTAAGAATAACAAGAGAGAGAGGAAGAATTAGTGGGGTAAAGAAGAGACTGAAAGTTAATTTAGGATAAAGACTTAGTGTTAATATTCATTAATTTAAAAATAAATAAAAAATAACCAAAAACTAAGAGAGTAAATGACATGGCTTCCTTAAACATTACACAGGGTTAAACATTTAAGAATACTCAAATGGACTGCATTTAACACAGATGTTAACTTACCTTTATAGGAATGTAGGTCTTAGGAGACAGATGTACTTGCCCAGTTTGCTGAATCCAACCTCATTGGCATCCAGTCGCAAAAAGGAAAAAGTTTGACATGACTGTCATGCTATACGTATACATGAAACTTAGTAATCAACAGAATAAAAGGGAGGAGGCACATTGGCAAACTGGAATTTCTCGCACACTCTACCTGCTTTTTGTCCACACCTTAATTTCAGCAACCTGTTGCACAATCCACAGTCTATAATTCCATACAAAGCTTCACTTTTCAACCTTCTTGGCCAGGAACAATGTAGTCTGGGGATGGGCAGCAACCATTAACAATTAAAAGCTTAGGTTTAGGAAATTCCCATTCTAATCATGCAGTGTTAATTAGGGGGGGCTTAAAACTCAGTCCACATGAAATATAGATAAAAATGATCTATTGATCTATTACATTATTAATATGTTTAAATGATTGTTACTCAGACTATATCCCTAATCAGTGTGGTGTAGTGTTAGTAGTAGTGGATAGGATTGGCTTATATTTGACTTTATTTCAACCTTACTGTTGTCAAAAGCAACACAGTGATGTTATAACACAATCTATGTCCTCAATTATGGCCTTTGCCAGGTCCGTGCCCTTCTGTCTTAAGTATTTAAATGGGCAAGCTTACTAACCATTTGGCATATGCACATTTGTATCAGCCTCCCAAATTTACCTCCGATGTTTTATGTCTTATTGTTGTTATTGATTTTGTGTTACTATTACTAAACAGTGATAGGGGAGGGTTGACAAGAAGAGCATTTTGCCCCTGGCTTACTGGCATAAACAGACTGATGGGTTACTGACTAAAAGCACAGCACTAACTATATTTTTTTAATTTTATTTTATTACAGTTATTGCAGTATTACTATAAAACATTTTGTTTAAAACAAAATTTGGCCTCAGATTAGCCTATTTGTAGCTAGCCTTCTTTTGAATATTGACAGGCCAAATATAACGGGTTCTTCCCTGTACATTGACGTGGGAATACTTTATTTTCTTTGCTTTTCTGTTTTGCTGTTGCGTGACGAATAAGATATATACATCCATATATACATACATACATACATAATATACAGAAATATTGTGACGCTCGACCATTACACCAACATGGACTTTTATGACTTTGCATTCTGAAAACTTAGAGATCAATATGTAGTTGGTCCTCCTTTTGCAGCAATTACAGCTTCCAATATTCTGGGAGGGCTTTCCACATGATTTTAGAGTGTTACTGTTTGAATTTTTGTCCATTGTTTCAGTAGAGCATTTGTAAGGTCATACTCTGATGTTGGACAAGAATCTCTTTTCAAGTTCATCCCAAAGGTGTTTACAGGGGTTGAGGTCAGCGCTCTTTGCAAGTCAGCCAAGTTCTTCCACATCAAACTCATCCAACCATGACTTTATGGACCTTGCTATGTGCACTGGGGCACAGTCATGCTTGAATAGAAAATGGCCTTCCCCAAACTGTTCCCATAAAGTTGAAGCATAGCTTTGTCCAAAATGTTTTTTTTGAAGCATTAAGTTTTCACTTCACTGGAAGTAAGGGGCCTGGACCCACTCCTGAAAAATAGCCCCATATTTTTATCTCTCCTCCACCAAACTTTACATTTGGCACATTAAAGTCAGGTAGGTAACATTCTCCTGTCATCTGCCAAACGCAGACATGCCCATCAGACTGCCAAACAGAGAAGCATGATTTATAACTCTACAGAACATATTTCCACTGCTCCAGTGTCAAGTAACAGCATGCTTTACACCACTCGTTTCGAAGCTTGGCGCTGTACTTGGTGATGTGAGGCCAGGGCCATCTTTAACAAGGGGCAAACGGGGCAGCTGCCTCGGGCCCAGTTGCTCCAGGGGGGCCCAAAGCAGCTGTCCCGTGGGCCCCCTGCCCGCAGCCAGGACTGAACAGCCCACCAGGATACTGAGAAATATCCCAGTGGGCTGCGGCAAGTGAAGTAATCAGGGCCCCCCGGCCCTTTAATTGAGCACCCGACCGGGCCCCTGTCTGTATGCCTGCTGGGAGGAAGTGAGGCGAGATCACTTCCTCCCAAGTAACAGAGTGCCGCTGGGGAGGAGGAGACACACATGGAAGTGGAGAGGGAGGATGCACAAACAGGAGGAGGAGGTGAAGGAGAGGGACTGAGGTAAACATGTTCATCAGACTCCCATAAACCTCAGCCATCCAGCTTCCACTGGACCCCAGGGAAGCCACCCTTCTCTAAAGGTAAGGAGACACAAGGATGGCTAGACTTAAATTGATATAAATGTGTGTATATCTGACTGTATGTGTATCTGACTATGTGTGTGTATCTGACTGTATGTGTGTATATCTGACTGTATGTATCTGACTATGTATGTGTGTATCTGACTATGTGTGTATCTGACTGTATATGTGTATCTGACTATGTGTGTGTGTGTATCTGACTGTGTGTATATCTGACTATGTGTGTGTATCTGACTATGTGTGTGTATCTGACTATGTGTGTGTATCTGACTGTATGTGTGTATCTAACTATGTGTGTGTATCTGACTATGTGTGTGTATCTGACTATGTGTGTATATCTGACTGTATGTGTGTGTATCTGACTATGTATGTGTGTATCTGACTATGTGTGTATCTGACTGTGTGTGTGTGTATCTGACTATGTATGTGTGTATCTGACTGTGTGTGTGTATCTGACTGTGTGTGTGTATCTGACTGTGTATGTGTGTATCTGACTGTATGTGTGTATCTGATTATGTATGTGTGTATCTGACTATGTATGTGTATATCTGACTATGTGTGTATCTGACTATGTGTGTATCTGACTATGTGTGTATATCTGACTGTATGTGTGTATCTGACTATATGTATGTGTATATCTGACTGTATGTGTGTATATCTGACTGTATGTGTGTATATCTGACTGTATGTGTGTATCTGACTATGTGTGTATATCTGACTGTATGTGTGTATCTGACTATGTATGTGTATATCTGACTGTATGTGTGTATATCTGACTGTATGTGTGTATCTGACTATGTATGTGTGTATCTGACTATGTGTGTGTGTATCTGACTATGTGTGTGTATCTGACTGTGTGTGTGTATATCTGACTATGTGTGTATATCTGACTATGTGTGTGTATCTGACTGTGTGTGTATATCTGACTATGTGTGTGTATCTGACTGTGTGTGTGTATCTGACTGTGTCTGACTATGTGTGTATCTGACTGTGTATTATCTGACTGTGTGTGTATCTGACTGTGTGTGTATCTGACTGTGTATTGTGTATCTGACTGTGTGTGTGTATATCTGACTATGTGTGTGTATCTGACTGCATGTGTGTATCTGACTGTGTGTATCTGACTGTGTGTGTATCTGACTGTGTGTGTATCACAGGCTGTGTGTGTGTGTCTGACTGTGTGTGTGTATCTGACTGTGTATTGTGTGTATCGACTGTGTGTGTGTGTATCTGACTGTGTGTGTGTGTATCTGACTGTGTGTGTGTGTATCTGACTGTGTGTGTGTATCTGACTGTATGTGTGTATCTGACTGTATGTGTGTATCTGACTGTGTGTGTGTATCTGACTGTGTGTATCTGACTGTATATGTGTATCTGACTGTATATGTGTATCTGACTGTATATGTGTATCTGACTATGTGTGTATATCTGACTGTATGTGTGTGTATCTGACTGTGTGTATATCTGACTATGTGTGTATATCTGACTATGTGTGTGTATCTGACTATGTGTGTGTATCTGACTATGTGTGTATATCTGACTGTATGTGTGTGTGTATCTGACTATGTGTGTATATCTGACTATGTGTATATATCTGACTGTATGTGTGTGTATCTGACTATGTGTGTATCTGACTATGTGTGTATCTGACTGTGTGTGTGTATCTGACTGTGTGTGTGTATCTGACTGTGTGTGTGTGTATCTGACTGTGTGTGTGTGTATCTGACTATGCGTGTGTATCTGTATGTGTGTGCGTTTGTATCTGGCTGTGTGTGTGTATCTGGCTGTGTTTGTGTCAGTGTATGTGTACCTTTGTGTCAGTGTTTATGTGTATCTATGTGGATGTATACCTGTGTCCGTGTACTTGTGTGTCAGTTTGTATGTGTACCTGCGTGTCTGTGTATGTATATGAGTGTCAGGTTGTGTAAGTGTGTATCTATGCGTGTGGCAATGCATACGTTCCATCATTCCAGTACCAACACTGCACACATATACACTACTACATTCCAACGCTAACACTGCACACAAATACACCACTGCATGTGTATCTGTGTTCCTGTGTGTATCTCAGTGTTTGTGTAAGTGTGCATCTGTGTGGCAATGCATACATCCCAGCATTCCTTTGCCAACACTGCACACAAATACACCCCTGCATGTGTACCCGTGTGTCTGTGTGCATCTTAATGTGTGTCTATATCTGTGTCAGTGTGTGTAAGTGTATCTCTGTGTGTGGATGTGCCAGTGTTTTTATCTTTGTATCTGTGTGTGTGTGTGTA